TCTTCTCTCTCTCTCTCTCTCTCTCTCTCTCTCTCTCTCTCTCTCTCTCTCTCTCTCGTCTTCCTGCCTCCTTCCTTCTCTCTCTCTCTCTCTCTCTCTCTTTCTCTCTTTCTCTGTCTTCCTGCCTCCTTCCTTCTCTCTCTCTCTTTCTCTGTCTTCCTGCCTCCTTCCTTCCCTCTCCCTCTCCCTGTCTTCCTTCTCCGCCCCCCGCCTCTTTCTCCCTGTCTCTTTTCAGTCCGTTCTGCCTTTCCCTCCCTCTCTTCCCTTCCCCTCTCCTCCCTTCTATCCCTCTCAACTCCACTTTCCTTCCTTTGTTTCTCCTCCATTCCTTTCTCCTCTCTCCCTTTCTTCTTTCTTTCCCCGAAGTTTACAGTATAGTGTCTCTGCCATTTAATGATTGTTATTTGCCTGGTGGTATGGGAGCAACTTGGGTTCTAATGGGAGGTGTCAAGGATATGGTAATAGATTTATTGTATTTGTTTAGCCTTTTAAATAACCGTACTACTGAAGCAGTTTAACATACTCTTCACTGTTCAAGAAGTATTTTTGTTCATATTTGCATAGATTTACCAATATTAAAAGATAAGACATGAAGGGAATATGAATGATCTATTTTGCTATTAAATTTTTATTTTTACCTTTTGCAGGAAAATGCTGAGATTCTGGAATAATGTATGTATTCTTTCTTTCTACGTAGAACAATTTAAAAATGACCACACCAAACAAGACACCTCCTGGCGCTGATCCTAAGCAGTTGGAAAGGACTGGAACAGTAAGGGAAATTGGGTCACAAGCTGTTTGGTCACTCTCGTCTTGCAAACCAGGTAAAGCAAAACAAAACAAAGAAGCTGTTAGTAATAATTACTTACAGTTTCCTTGTACACTGGACTAACTCTAATGTTCTTTTTGTTTAAATGCTTAATTTGATTTCTAATGAACTAGGTGTTCATTTATTGCATATTTCTGCACAACTGCTTTACTTCTTAGATCTAACTATGTCATGAGGCCTTCTCTTTATCCTTGACTATCTCTGCTATGATTCAGTTGTTATTTAGTTGGCAGTTTTATTTGCTGTTTCTCTAGATTTTTTTGAGTGATTACATATCCCAAAAGCATTTTCTCTTACTCTAGATTTGGATAGAATTCTTGGATAGCACTTCTTTTCTCTCAAAAACAATGTCAGTGCAAATACATTATCCTCTTTTGCCATGAAATTGGTAAGAAGGCCTGTGCTTATGTCTCTCTTTTTTTCTTTTTTTGGACAGTACTGGGGTTTGAACTCAGGCCTTCATGTTTCCTAGGCAGGTGCTCTACCCCTTGAGCCACTCTGCCAGCCCTGTTTCTTTTTCTTTCTAAATAACTTGTTATGTTTGGAGTTATCTAAGAGTTTTCTCTTTATTCTTAGAGTTCAAGAGTTTGGCCAGGGTATGGTAGGATAGGATATGTGTGTATTATTTCTCATCTATCTCACCTGTAATTTAATAGGGATTTTTTTAATCTGCAAGCTCAAGTTCAGAGAAATTCCTTTAGCTTAAGGAGCTTAAATTATAATGTTATTAGCTTGGTAGCTATTTTTCTTTCACAAATGCCTATTATTTATGTATTAAAACTTCTGTAGCTCTCCTCTCAACTGAGCCTCTTCTTTTTCTCCTCAGGACTCTGATGTTTCTACCACTTGAGCCACACCTCCAGTCCATTTTGCTCTGGTTATTTTGGAGATGGGTCTACGAACTATTTGCCCAGGCTGGTCTTGAACTGTGATCCTATCTCAGCCTCCCAAGTAGCTAGGATTACAGTTGTGAGCCATTGGCACCTGGCTAGAAGAATTTCTTTTAATATTTCTTGCAAGATGGGTCTACTGGTGATAGATTTCCTCAAGTTTTATTTGTCTGAAGAAGTCTTTCTCTTTCCATTTTGAGGGAAAATTGCACGGAGTATGATTTTTTTTCCTAATACTTCACGTATTTTACTCCATTCCCTTATTGCTTGTATGATTTCTCAAGAGAAGTGTGATGTAATTCATATCATTTCTGCAGATAAGATGTTTTTCTGTGGCTTTTAAAAAATTTATTCTTTGTCTTTGTCTGCAGTTTGATATGGTTTGACTAGGTGTAGGTATTTTGGTATTTATCATGTCTGATATTCTTTGAGCTTCCTGCATCTGTGGTTGGTGTCATCAATTTTGGAAAATTTTCAGCCATTTTTACTTCAAATATTTTTTCCCATTCCTTTCATTCTTTTCCTTCTGGTATTCCATTACACATACTTTACTCCCTTTATATGTATTTGCAGTAACTGAAGTATGTGAGGCTAACATTCCTCTGAATTTAGTTTTTGTCTTCAGGTTTCCATAGAAATTCCTTCTCAAATATAGCCTGCACCTGCAGTTCTTCTATTGTAGTCTGCTGATACTCTGTAGTTGTCTACTGACGTTGTGGTACACTGGTGGGATTGAGACCTGTAACTAGATCTCAGTCTTTAGTGGACCCATGTTCCTGGCTTTGACCATTACAAGTCTCGCTCAGCTTTTCCCCCTTTAGGGTAGACATGAAGGCTAGAGTTGTATATTTCCTTTTAGTCTCTGGTAAAATAGTTTTCTTTAAAGTCTGCCTTTTTTAAGGGGAGCAGAATGCTCTGGGTATATTTCAAAAATAACTATTTTCCCCCTTCTGTAGAAAGAATTGGGGAGTTTTCTCCCATCTTTGCTCAGAGAACCCTGGTAGAACTCTGGAGATATAACTCAAGCTAGTTTAAAGCCCTTCCCAAGGCTGGGCTTCCAAGAGCTTTTGTCTTTCGAGCTAGACTACACTGCCTCTGATTAATTATCAAGTTTCCTACTAGTTGCTTACTCCAGTGGCATTTTTTCTCCATGGTAACCTGTGATTCTCCAGTTTTCTGTATGTTTATTTGCTGTGGGATCTCAGTTCTCTCTTGGACCTCAGTTTTTTCAACCTTTTTTCTTCTTGTGAGAATAGGAATGACAACTTCCAAGCTCTCCATACATCAGACTGGAAACTACAAGTTCTTCCTTTTACTTTTAACCTATTATATATTTTATTGTGTTTCTTAAATAGATAAAAAAATTGTTGGGTCTTTCTTGTTTTTGTTAATCCTTTAATTGAGAGTACTTAGACCACTTGTGCTTAATGTATGTATTGTGTAATTAGACTTAAATCTACCATCTTACAGTTTGTCTTCTCTTTGTCAGAGAGGTCTTCATGGAGATAATGTTTATTTGGCATGATGGAGCAAGAGTAGGAAAAGAGTAGGAATAGTACATGGAAAGGTGTGCAGCTTTGACAAACATGGCTCATTCTAAGAACTGCAAGAACTAGTCAGTAAGGCCAGCACGTAGGGAAATAGCAAAGGTAAAATAAGATAGTTGGGCCTAATTATAGAGGGCTTTCTTAAATAATTCATGTTTTATTTTATAAATAATAAGAGCCCTTGAAAAAGTTTAAGTAGCAGAGTAAAGTAATCCGAGTTTGTTCACATTTGAGAATTGTGGAAGATGGGCTGAAGTGAAGCAAGATTATAGGTTAAAGTCAGGAGAGAGGTAATAATTCTGGTTAGAAGTACTGTAGGGGATGAACACATTTTTAGAGTGTTGATACCGATGTTTGGGAAGTACAGTGTTTACTTGCGTGGTAAAGGATGTTAGGTAGCACATGGCTTTGCAAAATTACATCTTTGAAAATACTGGTTCAATCTTTCACTTGGATTAAAGTTGGAATCTATTTAGTAGCTTCAGCTTAGTTGAACACAAATCACAAAACAGCCCCACAATTCAGCACATTTGTCAGTCTCTGTCCAAGAGACTGGAAAAACTAAAAGTCGTGTTTTTGTGGAGCCTGCAAGTGTTAAAATAGCATCTTATTACAACAATTTAATCATTTCATTATCACCAAATTTATAACATGTTGAAAAATAAAATTGTGGGGAAGGTAGACACATTTCCTATGTTCAACTCTATTTATGAAACAAAACAAAGGATTCAGTGTGACATTTTGTGAACATGTACTCTATTTGATTTATATTTTTTTAATAAAGAAATTGCTTTTATGAGTAAAAATTGAGAGGCATAATGGGATGGTATAGGTTCTGTTTTTCTTAAACAAAAACTCACTAAATTTTTATTTAGGTTCATGCTACGTTGACAGTTATGATCATAGAGTTAAAAGACTTTCTGAATTGAATAGTACTATTCAATACTTTGAAGAATAATAACTCAGTAAAATAATAGAAAATAACCTTGAGTGTGAGACTACTTTAGATTGTGGGATCAAGGAAGGCCTCTTTTAGAAGTGGAATTTACAGAGATATGAATGTTAAGAAGATTCATTGTGTGAAGACTTCAGAAAATAACCTTCTTAACATTGGGAACAGCTGATTCAAATGCTCTAAACTAACTGGTTTATCATGTTGGAGGTTTATGAAGAAGGCTAGTGTTGCTGGAAAGTAGTAAGTGAGGAGGAGAAGTGGCAGATTGGATTGGATAGATAATTAAACATGGCCAGATAATATGAAATCTTATAGACCATGAAAAAGAATTTGGATTTTAAGTACAAAGAGAAACCATATTTAGTTTTATGAGTTTAAGTGTAAATAGTCATAGTATATGATGTAGATGAACTCGTCTACAAAGACCATGTGTTTTGTATCTTCAGAATCAAAGACATATGGCTCAGTTGTGGTAGCTCCCTAGCAAAAGTGAAAGTAATTGTGTTGATAGAGACATCTGAGATGAAAATGGCTGTTCTATTCCTAGAGGAAATATAAACTGGACCACTCAAATATATTTTTCATGTATTGCTGCTGTATTAGTCAGCCCTTGTTGAATTTACACCAAAAAACAAATAATCCTAGTCTCTCAGTGGCATATAACAATGAAATTTATTTC